TTGTGGATATTTACCAAGCTGCAAAGGGGCAAGTTAAATATCCACTGCTAGCCACTGACACTGAAGTAAATATTTGTTTTTGTACAAACTAAAACAGTAACTAATTTAATTATTACAATACTTTTGGGTGCAAATCCTGCATGAGTTGCTTGAAGGTGAATAGGAAAGAATATTCAGAGTGTAATCAGGGCCCACCTTTCCACTGTCTTAGTATGTACTAAATGACAACATTTGAAATTACAGTAATTACTGTTACCAATAGTTTTAGAAGACCCACACACATGTAAGTTAACCCTTAGAAGGTTCATCTCAGTAAAAAAATAATTCAATATTATATTGCATTGTATCTATTCCTTTAATTTAGCTCAGGTTACTAGCAGCCAACGCACACAGTGCCTCCTTTAATAGGCAATAAGCAAAAGCTAAAATGACCTATTGAATTTCTAAAAATTTTGATTCTATCATAGTCACAAAAATTAAAACTTACCGAAAGCAAGTCAAAAGCTGCCACTGACTGCAATTTTTAATTTACACAAATGCTGAGTTTTTTCTCTCCAACAGAGTGAATATTCAAAAATTATTTGGTTTTCAAAAATTGGTGCATATGCTCAGTCATCTTTTTTTAACTTAAGAAAATGTGTTTCATTAATAGTAAAAATGAGTGATAAAAGAGTTTGTCATCACAGACCAAGATTTCATGAGAGGATTGAATCAGCCTGCATACTCAGAAAAACAGTTGGATGACTTAACAATGTTAACAATGACTTAACAAGAAAACTGAATGACTATTTGATAGTCAAATGTTACTCACTCAGTTTCTGAGTGACTCTCCATTAAAAACCATCCTGGAATAAAGTTTTCACTGAGGATATTTCCATTTCCTTCAAGGCACAAAAACAATAACAAAAATTTAAAAAAAACATACACCAAAGAATTCTGGACTTACTCAGACAAATGTGATCATGCGTAACACACAAAATGTTCTAACTTGAAGTTTCCATGTACTCATTAATAAAAGTTTGAAAGCATCTATCAGATACATTGGCCACTTATATTTATCCACCCTATATGACCATCTAGTTAAAAGCTTAGAGAAATAACCAAAAAAATATAGATTCAAATTACATTGGAAGGCATTTAAATAACACAGGTACAGCAGTTTTGATCTTCTGAAAGAGTCATTTTTAGGCAGTATGATCAAGCAAAAGTTGACATTTGTAAAAGAATTATCAACTTCTGAAACCAGTAAAGGTATACAATGATAGAAATATCAGTGATAGAAATACCAATATTATGCAACAACATGTTAAGAAAAATTTATTCCTTAACAAATGATTCCATTTGAAATAAATCAACCAACCTTCAGGATAAAACTCTTCAAGTTGTTCCTCTGTAAATTTATTGCTAACAAAAGATTTTAAAATAAAAACATTATAGTTAATATCTTTTAAAAAGAATCAGTTTTCTACATGTACAAATAAATCCTGGACTGTTATGACTTTGTTTGATATCATATGATTGCATCATTCATCTTAATATCAATTGACAAGTTATTGATAAGTTCTTTTCTTCATTAAAAGGAGTTTTTCTCTAGTGTGCATTTTAACAAACGTAGCAGAACTAACCTAAATATATCAGTGCCTGTTCCCAAGGGATCTTGGCTGGTATTCATCTGCGGTGACACAGGTCTTACTGAGCCAGACCGCACCCTTAATTCTTCTGGGTCTACCTCTTCCAACCAAACAGCACTCTCTTTCAAAGGATCTGCAACCAAAATTGAAAAAAGATGCAAATAAATTTTCTTTCTCTCAATATATAATATTTGATATTACATTGACATACCTCATTGAAACACAATTTCCCAAGGAGAGGCTAAATTTTTAGCACCATTTGTTATCGCCTATATCTCAAACTCAATAGTGTACTGAACTGTTTGAATGAGGTAGGTTGTTCAGACGGAGAAAATTGTGGGTAAATATAAATTATACAACATAACAAAAAGGAAACAATAAAATTTAGTACACTAATTGTCTTAATGAATTATCCTCCAACTTTGTAGTGCCTTTTCTTTTTACAAATCAATTACTGTTTTAAGGCTAAACTAAAAATAAACTATTAAATTGTGCAGATAGAGAACATATACCTGGAACCACCATGACACTTTTAAACTGTACAGTACAGCTTCCTTGTCCTCCTGATCGTGTTGTGACTATCACATCTCCTTTCCCTGGTGGAGCCTTTCCAGTCCGTGCTATGATCTTGCTGGCTGACTTGTAGTCAGCTGACAGCAGACAATTAGCACCACAAATAGTCAGACCTGATAACATCAAAAATCAGTTAAGGTAAATATTTAATTTATTTGTTGTACATATACCACAATTCTCTATAATTTAATGATTTAATAACTAATAAACTGATGCTGTATCTTCTTATCACAACTGCTTGTTTGCATCCTGAGTAAAAGCCAGAATGCTTCCAAATTTTACAGCCAAGTTTTTTTACAAACAACCTATCAATATCACCAATGGCCACATTTGGATTTCCTGTCTTCATAATTATATTTCAATGTTATCTCATCACTAAGTACCCCCCTTGATTAACCACCCTCCCTTCAATAAGTGCCCCTCCCACTTTTAGCCAAAATTTTAAACAAGCACCCAAGTGCTTATTTGAGAAAATATAGTATACTCTTCTTAAAATAACCTGCAACTGTTTTTTTTTAATTAAATAAATGTACATCTTAGAGTGTTTAACCTGTAGAAATCTAAATCTGGAAATAGGAGATTATCTATCACCCCTATCCCCAATCCTTACCCCAATTTTATTTTCATTTAATTTATTAGCCACCTCCTCAAACACATACTCCAAATAAACAAACAAAATGCAATAATCCTTGAGTATCCACAATAATCATTTGTAATGGAGACAAAATGAGCGAGATTTTCTCACTTGTGAAGAAAAGATTATCCATTTATATGGGAGATTTCGCAGACAGTACGGGAAACTTTAAGTTTGTTAACCATATGCTGGAGACGCCAGGCTATTTTGGGAGAGGTCACAAAGATTGTATGTTCTTCCACCCCAGTAACGTAACCACAGTAAAGGAGGAGCAAGTCACCACATTGCATTTATATTTGCCGGATGAAATTTCAGAAAAAAATTGCGACTGATTTAATATCAAACTCAGAAAAACTAAGGAAATATCTTTATAAAGATTTCCTGATCAGACATGTAAAGCACCTGGGTCAGTACATTTAGTTGACGAACCTGTCACATCTTTCGCGTTGACACCGAGGTGTTCTCCACGAATGATCACCTTAGTTCCAGGTGGACCCTCTGCAGGAGAGATGCCAGTCACTACTGGAGGCGGTCTCATCTTAATATTTTTCTGAAGCTAGGAAACAGAGCAAAGTATTACACTAACTTCCTCTTCTAAGACTGCTTTTCCGCCATGTTGACAAGATAGCCAGCGATCCTTTGAACAGCGTACGTAAGTAAAAAATGGAAGACTACAAGTAATATACTTGAGGTGTGTTATGACCACATAGCCAGTGAAACAGCAAAGTTACTGTAGCTTTACTTATTATTAAATAAGAGTTCGATTAGACGTGTGGTATTATCAGTTAGGGATTTAAATGGCAAATCAAGCATCGTTTCACTAATTCCTTTCGTACTTTGTCTTACTTCTGGAAATAAGGGAGTAATTTTATGAGCATGGAAATCATACTCGGTGTCCTTAGCGGATTTGGACCCCCCTGATTACGACCCCCCCGGTCCAAATCCACTAGTGGATATAGACCCCTCCCCGGTCCAAATCCGTTAGCGGAAGTGGCATGCAATGGAATTGGAAATGGGAACTGAAAATGACCCGGCGGATGTTTCTCTTGATCAAGGGATAATGTGCAAGCATTTAGTTTAATGTTAGGAGAAAGGAGGTTTTGAACCTTTTCCCAGCTAGACTCAATAAGAGACAAACCAAAAGTGTTGGGACGACATGGAACAATGCGAGTTGCGCGAGAGATGGTTACACATGAGCTGCAAGGGACTTAAGACTGACCCGGAAGCGAGTGGCTCTGCATTGTCTGCAGACCGCCAGACTCGAGACGTCTTCGTAACTGTTAAGGTGTTATTTTGGATCCCTCAATAGTTAGTAATTAATCGTTAAAATTAGAAAATAAGACTGAGTTCGATGTAATAGTCTCCACTTTTGTAAAGACGTAGACATAAATGTTGATTTCCATTTGAAAATAAACTGAGAGTTCCAATTGTTCAGAATAGAAAAATTTTACTTATCATAGGCTTTATACGAACTACCTGTCGTAGGAGTAGTTACTTCGTTCTTCTTCAAAAACTGTGTAGTATTATATAATTAGAAAATCAGATCGAGTTATTTTTGTGATTGGACGCAATAGTCTCCACTATTGTTATGACGTTTCGTATCTATGTTGATTCGCATCAGAAGAAGAAAAGATTTATTGTAGCAATCTTAATAGTTCGAATGCAGTGGTTTGTTTGCATTTACATGTAATTCTTGCGTATACTGTACGACTCGCTTTAATAAATGCGGCAGAATTGGAACGAAGTGGCTGGTTTTTCTTTACTTTCATTGAGGAATGTTGTGTTGTGACTAAGAAGAACATCGACGAAAAGCTTGCAAATAGAATTCGTTGTCAAATATGATACAAACGATGCCAAAGGAAAAGTACGATAGGGGGTCCAAATGTGCGAAGGGGGGTCCATAGCCGTTAGCGGATTTTGACCGGGGGTCCAAATCCCCGAGGACCCAAGACCGCTGTGACACCGGAACGAAGTCAGATACAGGCCAAACTTTCCTTGTGAAGACACCTTTATTTGATGTTAGTTACATAAGGAGAATAAAATTGCAATTTGCGAGTGAAAACATCTAAAGGAAAAATTTTAGCCTCCTCCGTCGCGTGTTATTTTCCCCACCCCTCTCCCCTTAAAAATGAAATGGTTCACCCGCTGAGACTGTATCTAGCTTCGCTTTCTACTTCTTGTTTTTCCCGGAAAAGTTTCATCATCCTTTGCCAAGAAACGGCAACGGTGGTTTTGTGAGGTTTATTTGACTTTGTCCCCATTGTCCGAAAGTGTTCAAAAGCACGATATTCCATTGAAGGACGGATACGGTAGACCATGGAAACTGAGAGATGAAAAGTCAAACTTTATTTCAAAACATCGATTTTTCCAAAATACTAAGCTCTTGAAAGGTGGGTAAACGCGAGCAAGGTTTGTGGTCCACGTAGTTTTGTCCATACAGTTTCCCTATCAAAATACTTATTACTTATTTAGCCAAATTTGAATCACATTTAAAGGACTAATAAGTTAAATGAAAAATAATCTATTTTTGTTTCGTGTAAAGTGTGGTTGGGTGTAAACATGTTTTCTTTAATTTAGACTAACACTGCTCGAAGCAAAATTTAGTTTCATTTGGTCTAGGTAAATACTCTTGTCATGTCTAACAACGTGTATTGGACCATCACAATAACCACGTTTGCTCCAGACTTCCTCATTGTCTCATTACTTGAGTTGACATTTATGCATTTAATTTTTTGTGTTCAGTGCTTTACATAATTGTAAAAAACACCCACGACAAATTGTTTAGCCCCACTCAGTATTGTTTTATTATGCTGTAGCGTTATCTCTTAGTATTTTATAATTAATGCACCGATTAAAATTAAGGTACAAAAAGTGTTTTTTTTATGTGCTACCAGCTATTGGGTGCAGATGTGGTAGTACTTCAAATACATTTTTTGCTTACACATAATTGTGTGGTTTCAATGCATTGCGCAACTCATAGTACCCTGGCCAAAACAGCTTACTGTAATTTGGTAGACAGGAAACAAAATGAAAATCTGTAACTTACGAAGTGAATTTCAATCTCTGCATGAATATGAATCTAGACATTGATAACTGAGAGGTTTGGACTGGGTACAGGCAGTTTACTTATTAGTCTTTTCCTTAACATTGAGCAATTGTTAGCGAGTAAATGGTCGTTAAAATAGAGGTGATGCAAATTAAAGAGAGATGCCTCACCAAAACATTTTCATTTGCGTAATGATAAAGGTGATTTAAAAGGCCTCAAAACAAACTTTGAAACATTATTTTTACAAGTATCTGTCACAATTTGACTCCTGTCAATTAGAGAGTGCATAAGAAAAAAAAAAGTGCATGTACACTTTTGAAAAACAACAAAACTAGTTTGGCAAGGACTGTCATGACAATGATTTCTTCAAAAATAGTCAATGATGTTACAGAAAGTATTATTCATTTTCATCAACAATTAATTCATGTACAAAGATTTACCTCTGTTCATTAAGTAATAATACAATGGCGTGTATAAATCTGGTCTTTCCTCCACAAAAACTAAATTTGAATGATATACTCCAATGAAATGCAAGGGGATTTAATGCAGCCTTTTCTCATTGAATTCCTTCTGTTTCTGTTGTGCAATTTACAGTATAAATGTCCAAATTGAACAGACTTGGAAAGACTTACCAAGAGCATATATTTGTTGCAGAACTGAAATTAAAACTTTGCTTGGCCTTTCACTACGAACAAATTGTTTGAGAAAATTCAGATATTAAATGAATGAAGGAATCCATTGATTAGTACAACTGTAACCAAATACCTCACATTTAAACTTTCTAGGTACTTTTTGTGAACAATTAAAATTAATTGCAGGTAGTTTTTAGTACGCTTGTCAACCAACATAATGACACTATTGCTTATACAAATTCATTCTAAAACCAATATTTTTCTATCAACCAAAGTGATTTGAGTAAGAGAAAAGAGAGGATTAATAAACGATTTGTCAGCTTGAAGAAGTGACTGATGTCTTTGCTTAAAAATACTGCCCAGCCAGAAAAACAAGATATATTTATGAAAAATGGCAACAAAAGTAGGGATGTACATGGCAACTCACAAAAGCGTTACCGTTGCCTGTGGGCAGAGATAGGAAAATACAGACTGCAAAAGGAACCAATCAGATTGCAGGATTCATTACCATGCCCTCTGAAAAAAAATAATTGGCAATATTCTCTCATGATATTTCCCAATTTCTAACCTTTCAAGCCAACTTGGCATAAGGCATTGAGGAAACCTTAATTTTAGGAAAAAATTCGATTAAAAAATGATAGACACAGAGGTTGTCAATGAATACTGTTATCTGTTTCTTCATTTCCTTTTTGTATACCAATTTGGTATTCAATATGGCTTTTACATATAAGTGTCCAATTAAAGTTTCACCTGCTGATATATACTAAGAGGATTATATTAACTGTAAAATTTAGTTAAATATGTAAATATGTATTCAATTCTGTAAAATATGTTTTAAAAGAAGGAATTGTAGAAAGGTGATTTCAAATTCAAACAAGCATACAGCACGAGTTCAATTTGAAATCACAAGTATGAGTTCTGACCAAAATTTCCTGACACGAGGTTCAATTACCACTTTATTACATCCATTTTGAAATCGCCAAAATACAGAACTTGGTCAGTTCAAATATTTTTTTGATGCAGTACTGAACCGGTCTGAAATTAAATTCATCCATTTGGGTAGGGGGGGGGGAGCAAGTTACAGTTGTGGTTTGCTTTTACCAGTGTTTAAAGACTGAAAATATTAAAATTAAAAGATTTGCCATACTCGTCAAGATTATTGTAGAAAAAAATTGCAATAACCTTGTGAATCTCAATGTTTCTTTCAAAAAAAGCCTTATCCATCAGCACACATTCTGAAAAGTATTGTTAACCATCGGTTCATTTCGTCAAAACATTCATGCAGCCTGTAGAATTGTGAAAGAGGTACGTTGTTGGACGAGAAGAGATACTGCTATTTGAAGGAGACTGAAAACCATATGTAAATGTAGTATTGTCGTGAAAAAATGTGACCTAATTTTATCCACTTCCGAAATTGGACAGTTCCCTATTAGACTGACGGTTATTAAAGAAAATACATGTATATGTTAATTTGCATTTTTGTTTTTGACCTTCTCTGCTCTTTATTTCCTTGCTTTTAACTTTCAGGTGTTGTCCTTAAAAATGAAGGTCACCTGTTCGAAAGCAGCAATCTAGCTACCGCACAACTGCAGAATCTTTCCCTTTCAAAGAGGAGAGAGATCATAAAGAAAGGTGAACGTGCTGACGAGGGCGAAAAGCAACGTGATTTCCCTACAAGAAAAATTATTTTGACTTATCAAAATGTCTTCAGAGGGAGCTGTACATCAAGAGGAAAGTAGCAACATATTTGACAAAGAAGGAGGGAGCAGTGTTAGTGTCGATTTGGATTCTGATTGCTGTCACCAAAATGAAGATCAGTTAGGTGCAGCCAAGTGCCCTATGCATGAAGATCGTACTGAGCTTAGTCGATCCTTGTTTGGTTTACCAGAGGACGAATCACACCTCCCCACAGTGGACGAAGAAACGAAATCTTCTAGTTGTGGGCAAGAAATTCGAAGAAAGGAAAGTCACAGGTCTGCATCCGTTCGTGGACATAGTTCAGTGAAGAGTGACTGTAAAGATGTAGGCGCACGTTCTTTTCCTAGACGAGGAAGTGACGACGTTCCATCTTTACAGCGAAAAAGTCACAGAAGGGATGCTCCAGGAAAATCAAAGAAAACCACTGGCAAACATTCTGGTGACACTCCAGTGACTCCAAAGCGTGGAAGGGATCTTGAATACAGAGATAAGAAATACAACCAAGCTAAAAAAACTAGAAAACCTTTTAGAAGTGAAAGAGACAAGAAAGTTGCTGCTCCATCCTTGGCTGAACAACCCTGTCGTTTGGTCTTCAAACCTCCCTCAGAGCTCCCTGTCAAAAAAGATGTCGTGACACTCTACCTTAAAGAATGTTTTGGTGACGAGATCACGTTTTATCACGAGGAAACTAAGAAAACTGATGGTGGGTGTCTCGAATTTACATTTGTCTTTCAGAATAATGAGCAAGGAAGAAGAGCTGAACTGATTCTAAAAGAAAACATCAGAGAAGCTGGAGAAAAAATTGAAGTTTCTATTCTCACGGAGGGAGCGCGTACTGATATGATTTTGGTCGAGTGCTTAGCAGAGCTTCAGAAAAAGATGACAGAAATCGAAAAGCAGCATACTGTCAAGATAGAGAAAATCAGTCGTCACATTAAGGCTCTTCATGTGCAAAAGCACATAGCTTTTAATGAATTTGAAAAAATACGCTCGGAGAGAGAAGTCCTGGAACACAAGAAGGAGGAACTTGAATCACAGCTCCGAGAATTTCGACGTTTTGAACTTATCACAAGATCTACTCTGGACGCCCAAAGACGGCTGCCACCCTCCTGTGTTGAGCCTACAGTGAAGAAACTAAGGGAAGCATTTGGTAGAGAATGTC